TTTAATTTATAATGGCATAATGTGCATGTTACAAAATTGTAATGGCATAAAAGCCGTTTTTAGTCTTTTCTAGCCTCAAAATATACAACACACTAGCTAGTAAATACGAGTTAATATGTGTAAATAAGACGAAGAAGATTAAGAAATACGTACATTCTCAATACTGCGAAAAAGTAACGCAAACCATAACACCGGTCTGTGAGACCGCTACAATTTTTCAAACATTTTATATTTTACACGGTTCCGGCGAATGACAGTAAGACTACCACAGCGTTTCGTAGGAACAGATGGCATATGAAAGTACTATAAGTTTAGAGTGTCTCTTGTGAATATTAAGAAAACTGTTGACAAGTAAAGCTTCAATAGCGGTCTGTGAGACCGATATAGTGGTTTAAAGGTTAATATAAGCATTTCAAAATTTTATTTTTCTCATTTGTAAGAAATCGATAGCAATTATGCACAGAAATCATATAATTCAATAAAACATTTATATAAAGGAATGTATTTTAAAACAGATTGATTACCTTTTATCGAAGAATACAATATTTTCCGTACTATTAGTAAAACACAAAAGGACAGCGAGAAATCAACGATATTATTAATAACACGAGTTACACGGACTGCGTTCTCTTTGGCGCTAAAGAAAAGAAGGACAAATACTTACAAGCGCTGTAAGTGCCAAAACTGAACAGAAAACGAAGCCTGGCAAACTCTTATACTGATTTTCAGTATGATTGGTTCTTGTCTTTAATTCTTTGCTAGATAAACTAACAAATTGTATGATAATTGTTTAACAAATAAAGCAGATTAATAAACGCTCATCGAATTGATTGTTACAATTATTAATTTTTACACTATAATCCGATCCGAACAAAGAATTAAAACCAAGAATCAATCATATTAAAGAATTACTAAACGCTGACTCATCTGCTTTGTCTGCTGAATGGTAATCCGACAATCCGACGAAGGTAATTCATTCAGAAAACTGTATGTTCATTGAACATCGCGCGTTGCGACCGTTGCGTACATTGGCTGCGTTCAGCAGATAAAGATCAGCGCTTATTAGTGATTCCTTATTACGATTGATTTTTGTAATTAGAACCAGCGATGATCTAAAGGCAAAAATCAATCATATTAAAGAATCCGCTCACTGATCTGTTTTCTCTGCTAAATGCAATCATTTGGCGTCGCATTTTACCACGTGGCATCTATATTTATAAATTATGAGACATACGATTATTTTAACTATTGCCATTGGTCGGAAGAGGGTGATGAAATCGCCGGGTGTTTTACTCGTGTATTGTAGACCGCTATAAGTATGTTTCAATCTTCTATCCATTCTATTGTTACGTTTTGAAAGTATTTCGATTTTTTATTTTCGCTGACACGATACATGGGCCTTAAGAGGATGCTAAAGCCGTCTGTTTTATCGACAAAAATACCATTTTTGTTGGATACAAAACACTTCGTATTAATCGCATAGAATAAAATTTCCTTTTCCACGATTAAAACACACATGCTAATGCATCTGGCTCTGGTGTATTTTGTACCAAAAGCAGGAAAAAATTAAGAAATTACAGATTTCGTTATCCATTTTAACCTCAACATGGCGACAAATACTATCAATTTGCCAAAACGTTTACTTCGTGAAAAAGTTAGGCAGGTTATACGCTCGAAATGAAGGCAGAGCCAGATGTACAATAAAGAAATGAATATAGGTGAGTCGTTAAAATCAAATTTAGAAGTCTAAATAAAAGTACATTTGTATCCTACAAATTCGTGTACATGTATGCGTGAGATATATTGATGTGGTAATAAACATGACACATCAATACACACTACTACATCAATATA